ACACACACACACACACACACACATACACACACACACACATACACATACACAGTGATTTGGAGTCCTAACAAGCAGATAAGATGATGATCTTGGCGAGGGAGCAAATGCAGTAAGGACTCCGGCTTCTGCAGCCCAGTTCAGAAATTGCACTGCATCCCTGTCCTCTGAAAAGCTGGTTCCACAGCCTGCAGTTGAGTCATGTGACCTTGCCTTGACATCCTTGCCTCCAGATCTATGCTTTGCTTGTTATTCTGTGATCCCTTCTTTTGCAACAACAATCAGGGGGCAAACAAAAACACAAACACAAAGATCCTGGTTTGTTGTTTACAAAGGTCACATAGAGAAAGTTAGTATTTGGAATTAGAGTCTCTTACTGGGATGAGACTGAGACCCTCTTCTATGCTCTGGGACAGAAATGTAAAAACTTATGGTAAGTGGTAGTCAACATTGAATCAGCCTCACCCTCAGGCAACTGGGGATCTCAGTGTAAAGTTCAGTGTATTTGGGTAGCTGTTGTCAAAATGAAAAGAATGGAAGTTGATAGGTACCTTGAGCCCAAAAATTATGTACACGGTCCTGGTGGAAGGTCACACAGTCATTAAGTAGAGGTGATGTGAGTTAAGCTGAGGCAGTCTCATGACACAGACTTTGCGGTCACTGCTTTGTATTCCTCTCCCAATACAGCTAAATTTCCTTTATATGAAAAGAAGCCCATGCCAACTGCTCCTACCTATGGAGTAGCCAGAGTTAGCAAATAATAGCACAAGATCCCCAGTTCAAATTTAATTCCAGATAATCAATAAATGAGTTGTTTTCATATAAGTATATAACAATGTATAGGATAGACTTATATTAAAATATTATTTTAATTCAAATGAGTGGACATCTTTTTTTTATCTGGCAACCCTACATTGCTCAATCTCATCTTTTTATTTCTCTCAGTAACAATTTATATCCAGTACATATATGTCTTAGAGTATACAGTGAGAGAAAATTCCAGAAATTCCGACTTCTGAAATCACTGCTGTGGTACTCACCAGGCCGTCTATATTCTGTGAGCTAGCCTAGGCAGACAGCTTCCATTTCAAGTCTGATGGCTTGGGAGCTCAAACCATTACTGAATCCTGTCCCACACTAGGTGACACTGAGATCCTTCTCCATTATTCGGGGCTGTTCATCTCTCAAAGTCTGCAACAACTAAAGACACTAGTTTCGATATATATGTATAAATCAGCTACTGGGATTCAGAAAATCTTATTTCCCATAAGACAAGGATTACTTGAGGTGGGCTGCAGGATCCATTAAAAATACATATTGTTGACTGTTTATGTAGATAGGTAAGGACTGCAGAGGAGAGAGGTAGTGAAAATGGAATCCCTAAACCCAGGGTTAGGAGATGTTATGCTGAAGGCAAATGAGTGCACACTCCATGCAGTTGTGGTCAAAGACCCAAATAATCAGACTCAAAATGAATGAGTGAGAATCTTTGGAGCAAATTAAACATGGAATATTCAAGAAAAGGCAGTATTTAGTGTTTTGTATTTTTAATTTTTTGACATAAAAACAAGAAACCTCCATTCTTCAGTTACCATTTCAATGGCTGAAAGGAACTGGCCAGGAGGAAGGCAGGAACGTCCACATGTAGATTTCTCAAGGCTTTGAAATGATCCTAGGATGTGCTAATGCTTTTGATCAACTATTGTGAAGGTACAGAGTATGCAAATAACTATCATTTGACTCTGATATTCTAATTAGTTTTTATAAAAGAGGCCAAAGAGCTAATTTGGGGATTCTGAAAGTTACCAAGGACAGACATTCCTAATATATACTCAGAGGGGGGAAAAATGCATTAATTTAGCAAACTTAGCTTACCTATAGGTAAAATCTTTCCAGGAAAATAGTGTGCAGCTCCAGCAGCCCAGTTGAGATGGTGAACCTCATCATAGCTGCCATCCATTTGTTTTTTCTTCATTGGAGAAAATTTAATGTAATGACTGACTGAGGAAGATCTGGATACTAAATGGTGCTGTGACAAATCATAGTAGAAGAATTGCAATAAAAGTTTCAAGATTTTGAAAAAACTTTTTTCCCTTTAGCAAAGATTATTCCCTTCAAAAACTGTGTAGGTAAGTCAGACAGCACAGTTTATATTAGGAAGAACCTGAGCCTTAGATCCTATAAGGAATCCAATATCACAACAAACTAGGAACAAGATGCAGTGCCTTCCAGCATTCCATCAAGATTCAAGGAAAAAGGATAATTTTCATGAGTATGTTGCTTACATGAGCCTACCATATTGCTATTCCATCCTCAACCTGTGCTGATGGCCATAGAGGGTTTCGGTCAACAAACCACTGAGTAACAGGTATAGTTTCACTGGATAATAACTACCACACCCTTTAAGAAGACTCTGCAGGTAATTAGAGAGGGTGAACTCTGAAGGGCAAGGGAACAGGAAAGACCTCCAGTTAGATGGCATATTGAGTAGCACACATCATTGTCCTTATGCCCGGAAGAACACAGGCTTTAAGTGAGATTCCGTACCACTTTTTGGTTAAAGGTATGGAAAAAGAATGACTGAAAGATTGAGGAAAGGGGTGTGAGAATTGAATATTTAGAATTGATCCAGATCATAAGACCATTAAGTGGCCCATTGTGCAAGCATGGCAGTTTTTACCCAATATCCCTTTTATAATGGCATCCAGTCTCACTTTTAGTGTCTAAAGAGTGAATGCTTTCATCATAGTGAGATTGTGGCTCTTCTGAATTTGAACTAAAACTGGTTATTTGGGTTTCTCATGCCAGGGGACAAATGGCACAAAAACAGGGTACTGTATTTATTGGGGTGACTGACCATGTCTATTAAAGGGACTTGTGATTACTGCTATATCACTAGGAGAAATATGATAGGAATTTAGTGGATTCCTTTGTTTTTGATGTTCCCAGTGGGAAAGATCAAGAGCACACTATTGTTCCTTTATGGATAAGACCACTAGTAACTGAAATAGCTCAAAAATCACTTTTCCTGCTGGGGAAATAGCTGAGGGACTAGCAGAAGGTAAGAGGATCACAGAATGGGTAATGGAACAGGAAAGACATAAATACCAGTTCTGGCTTAGGGGTAAGTGCAGAGAGAAAGACTATAGCTTGTTTCCACCTTTGCTGTTTCATGTCTTAGAGCAAAATGTCTTCTCTTAGATTCTATCCATATCTACATAGCTTATTGGTTGTAGCAGAGTGTCTTTTGGGTAGTAGATTGAAGCAGAATTTGATGGAGAATGGTTATCACCTAAAGCAAAATTATTAAAAGTGGGGGGTTTGCAACTTAGTGCTCATCTGTGAGCTGTTTATTCCTGGTTCATGGTGTAAAGCATATAGAAATAGCAAGTATTTAAAATTACTCTCTAGTTGTTAGCAAAGTTTCTATGCCTTTTGAATGTACTAATAACAAAAAATTAAGGCTTGTATGCTGTGTTTTTAATTTCATTATTTCTGGAAATTCCCTTTTATTGCATTTTTTTCTGATGAATTTGTGACAGATTAGAAATAAAACCTACTGTTCCTTTACTACAGTTGCTGAAGCACTGTTATTGATGAACATTGGCCTTGTGAAATATAGTTAATCCCATTCTGAGGGAGTTGAGCGAATGGTCATTGTTTATGAATCTTGATGAAGGCATCAGCTATGAGGGAGTGAGAAATGGGAAAGGTGAGGGGGAGAGGTGAGGAATATGGAAAGTAGAATAGTGAATAGTCAGGTAGAAATTGATTGGAATTGAGTCATCACATGACATTACCCAAGAAATTTCTGGAGTTGCCTTTTCTGGAATTTTCTGGACCTCTGTTCTGTTCCAACTTTCTGGAGTTTCTTGGTATACTTCTAGTTAATTCCTTTATTGCTTTTATACTAAATTTCTTGTTTGTCACTAAGTTCTTCTAAAAACAATATAAAGAGTCTTGTCAAATTATTTTCCATAGTTATATGTTAATGTATACCATAAATGTTGCCATGAGTAACTGCCCCAAGTATCTTGCCAGAATATTATGCATGTGTGTATATGTATTTATGTATATGTGTAGACCCGTCGTCTACTC